ATTTTCAGTACAAATCGGCAATTTCATACTTTAACCCCTATTATTTATATATACCCTAGAATTTATTCATATAAAAATATTCATCCATTCTCGAGGTAATGAAAAAGACAGGTCGTATCATATAATAGGGAAATTGCATACGGAGGTTATAAAACTATAGTAGCCTGTTTATGAACTATAAGCAACCCTATCAACCACTAACCCAAGAAATAATGACTGAATAGGCCTATTCACAATTTCTTTTTTATTGCTTAGGTAGAACTAAAAAAATGATTTTACAAACCCTTAAGTATGATTTTAAAAACCTGAAGTTAACGATCCTGTAGTTGCTATACATTCTATTACTATCATTTTTAATCAATAAATCAATTTGTTTGGCGTACTAACTAAGAATTTTTGTCAGTTTTAAACATCACAATATTGTTCTACTATCCCGTATCCGGCCGGATAGTAAAAATAGGCCGGATAGATACCGGATATCCGATATCTTTACTATATGTATATATTAATTATAGATACCTAGTGATACAGTAGAATGAATTCTTAATAATAGTTAATACTTATTGATTTTTCGACAGAGACATTACAACTTTGATATTTTCGAAAGCGAGTACACGACTTCGTCGCATAAAATAGATGATACGGTGATACGGTTTGTATAGGTTTCATTTGTGGGCGGCAATTGAATAGAAGTCTATAAATTTGTGAAAATGGCTGTTCAAACTGGCATGAATGTTTAGCATAAACAACATCGTACATATATACCGAATATATTATAAATTGGACCGGCAAATAAATTGGATCACCCTCATATCTCAAAAAGTATTTTTTAATTGCTTTATTGGCAAAGCCCAGCGATATGCGTGTAACTTCAACGCATATTGGTTATGTTGTTTTTGTTGTGATATTGAACGTCTGAGTATTGTTTTCAAAAATCTTTTTTGTTAATTTTTTGTTAACTCACATTGGCGCAGAGTCGAAGCGTCGCGACGCGTCATGTTTTTCGCCTATAGCATATTCATCTATATTTTCCAATTATTAAGGTACAAATTTGTGTTTTGCAAATATGGAATCGAGCAGCGACGCGTTACGACGAGTGTCGACGCGCGTCGACGCTTGGTAACATTTGAGCAGCTTTCACTTTCAGTCACTTGGGCGCCGTGAGGCGTCAGACGCCGACCAAACTGTTATTCCGGCGCACTAATGCAACGCGTCGACGCGAGTGACGTCACGCGTCGACGCGCGATGCCTGGCGGTGGGGTTGAAAAACAGGACGCGACGCGACGCTTCGACTCTGCGCCAGTATGAGTTGAACCTTAATGTAAATTCCATAGATCCGTGCAAAGAATGTAGTTAATTAAAGTTAAGCATACAGTGTTTGTAATTTATAGAATAAAGTGTAATTTATCTACAATGAACTTAGATTAAATTTTTTTTTATATAATACCAAGTGACGGCGCGAACAAGTCGTGCGCCTGATGGTTAGCTACACGGCTGCCCATAACAGTTGCAGTGCCAGTCAGAGCCTTAAATCGCAAAGATCTGAGCGACACTGCCACTGTACCCGTCGCCCTGGGACATAAGTGGACAGGTCCCATGTGCCGTAATTTCACCAGCACTCTTATCCTTCAAAACCGGAACTTAGTAATGCTGACATTACTGCTTGGAGGCAGAAATAGGTTAGGTTATTTCACAAGGAGGAGGACTACTAAACTAAACTTACTAACGTTGTGACGTGTGTAGTGTTGCTAGTGTCTGTACAATGCTGTTAGAAACCACATCTACTGGCAGTTAATTTTACGTTTTTCAACGTGGATATGTTAGTTTCTCTTGTTCTATATCACAAATAAGTTAGTGACATTGTAATGTTGTAGTCTATGTTTATAACTTCTCTGCGATATCATAAAACGTTTTGTGAATAGCTTATGTGAGGTACTTTTCTAGGTAGGTGTGAATCGTAAATATCAAAGATCTGAGACCTTTTCCGAGGGGTATAATAATGTCTTTTTAAAATCGTAAACATTCCCACGTCTTTTTCTTGCATATGCAATAATAACAAATAGGTCAACGTGAACAAAGAATTTAAATCTTAAAGACGTGTTCTGTGAAAAGAAATCCCCTTTGCAAACAATTTTCTCATACATTTGCGTATCCGATTACATTTTCAATACTCGTTTCCTCATATGAATGGCCAACGTTTAGATTATTGTAAAAATTCATTGCGTTTTACTAAAAATCTCTGGCCAATCGATAGTCGACTTTGTACACAAATCAAACAATATCCCTCGAGCAAGTGGAGGCGAAATTGAGCCGGAATCATTTATAAATGGGGGGATAAGCGGGCGAACGAAATAGCAGGGGAAAGGTGCGCGCTGCATTTTGCATGAGCCCTATGTTGGTAGCACGATCCGCGCTCATATCTTCCTCCTTTTCGGCACACGTATCAGATACAGCGAGCATTTCGGTTCGGTTGCAAAATTGATCATCTAAAGCAGTATTTATGATCGAAGTATCCAAAAGATAATTTTTAATTTCAATGTAGTTAGTATTTACGTTAGCAAAATTGCAGAATATATACTTACTTCTTGAACGTCTAATAAGTAGTCAAAAATTGTATCAAACTGGGTTCTCGTTAGTCCTAACGCTAAATACAAAATCGCTAGTACAACCTTACCACCCTTTACTGAAAGCAACTTGAAATTCTAGTCGCTCGCTACACCGCATACTTAACTGAATTTTTAAGTACCTACAAACAAATATTCAATTCGATGTAACATACATACAACTCATCGGTATGTAACCAAAAAACCTAGATTGTTGATATTTTATTATTTTTGAACTCTTATATTAAATTGTTTTCTAATATTGTTAAATTACTGGTAATAGTGACTTAATTATTACTTTTTACTAAATAACGTAATGTAAATACACATTATTATTTTCTGTACCTTTTATCTTTTCATCTAATAACAATCAGCTGTATACGCCAGAGACATAAAGATGCGAAACTGATCATTAACTGGGAGGAATAATGGAGTTAGTGATAATAACTGGAGTAGTGAATGTACCTACCCAATAAGTTTGAATACTTCGGGCACGGAATTAGGGTGAATTTTTTATAAGGACTCAGGTAGAGAGCAAGGGGAGGCGCAGACGCGGTCGGGGTGCCCCGGACTTGGCGCGGTCTGCATATTGCATTAGATTTAAATTGTTTACGTCGTTAAGAAAGAAACTTCTCTCAAACTGGGCGAGCCGGAAAACTTCTTCGCAGTGCGCACAACTCGCAGTGCTGTGCATAATTTCTATAAGGGTAGTAAAAGCAAAAGAGTAATTATGTCCATGAAAACCTACTTTAGCAGTCTGTTACAGAAACAACATCCTGTCACGAAAGTGTTAGAAATGTTTATAAGAGTATTTTGAATAACCAAGAAGTTGTCTTTTTTGAGAAATGGAAGCTTTTTATTGATTGTTTAGTTTTCATTAAACATCTTATTACGTTATGAACAATGTCGATTAACTAACACTATTGTAACACTAAGAAGTTCGTCATTCGGGTGGAATAACATTCATCGTGCATTGTTCTTTTTGTTTAAGAAATTTAAGTAAGAATACATTTATATGACCCATCCAAGATCAATTAATCAGTCTACATCGGTCAGCGACGTTGAAAAGAACTGGAAACATGAAAATACTATTGTTGGTTTTGGTTTTAGTACAATATTATGAAAAAGTTGAATCCTTAACGCATTTGGACTCTTTCGTTACTGTTATGAGTGATTTTACAAGACTGGTCAAAAATAGGATTGAAAATGCTGGACAAGGTTTTAAAAGTTTATTAAAGCGTATTTTTAAAGATAGTGCTGCAGGAGAAATTATTGTAATTACGACTAAGCCTCCAGATACTACAGAGCACCCCAATACGTTTTCAGTTAATATGACATCCGAACAAGACACATATACGCCCACAGACTTATTGATTCGGGAACATGGAAAGCGATGCACGACGCACACTTTACTGACTAAAGATGGGTATGAATTAACATTACATCGTTTAATAAACCCCATTGGTTTACGAGGTATGAAGCAGACGATTTTGATGCATCATGGCCTTCTTGGGAGCTCTGCCGACTGGATACTACTCGGCCCGGAGAAATCACTTCCGTATTATCTTTCCACACTAGGATACGATGTTTGGTTTGCTAACGCCAGAGGTAACCGGTACTCTCAGAGACACCAGAACACTATGCTAAATTCAACGAAATATTATGACTTCAGTTGGCAAGAAATAGGTCTGTATGATCTACCGGCTATCATAGACTACGTGAGACGTCAAACTAACGAACCTTTAAATTTTATAGGGCATTCTATGGGCGCAACGGCTCTTCTAGTATTATTGTCATCAGTACCCAAGTATAACGATTTCTTAAGGATGGCTATCTTACTAGGGCCCTTAGTATATATGAAAAATATAAAAGGGCCTCTACGAATAATTTCTTTGATGACTGAACCGCCACTGGAAGATTTTTTCAAAATTTTAGGAAACGGTGCTTTTGTTCCATCAAGAAAGTTACCCGATAATTTATTGAAAAGATTTTGTTTGAATGAAGTGTTATTATGTGGTAATCCACTATTTTTTATGTCTGGTGTTCCACGTAATCACACACAGTGGTCTGAGTACTTCACAAAATTGTTATTCCAACATATTCCAGCTGGAGGTTCAACCAAAACGTTTTTACATTACGCTCAATTAGTGAAAAGTGGCAAATTTCACAAATTCGGTGAAGTTGACCAAGAGTTTCCATTGAAAGAAGTGACTACACCTGTCGCACTAATAAGCTCAAGTGACGACTGGCTTGCCAGCATTCCAGACCTTGTGAGATTGTATATAAATATCTTTAATCCTATTGAACATTATATAATTCGAGACAGAAATATATCGCATACAGACTTTGTCTGGGGACCGAATGCGAACAAATTGGTGTTTCCAAAAGTAATAGAATTGTTACAAACTACTTCACAAGTCGTCGGCAAACAAGCAAATGACGTGTAAAATGTGGAAATATTTGTAAAAAATTAAATATATAATATTTGTAAAATCTTCCTAATTGTAATCAGAACGTGCATTTTGTAAATATTAATGTTGGAGCTGCCAGTTGACCGGCTCGGGCGACTTTCATCATTCCTGTACTTTTAAAATTTCAATTGGATTTCTTCTTATTTAAGAGCTCGGTTCTTGTCGGTGAAGTAATCGCCAACCATCTTCGTTCAGCGCCCAAACTTTGAGTTGATGCTAAGACACGACATTAACTTTTCCGTTGTCTTCTCTAAATAACCTCGTTTAGGACTTTTCTCTTCTATAACGCTTCTAAAAAAACTGTAGTGACGTGTTAAATACAAATACCCAACAATCTTTCCCGATAATTGAATGCTGAACAATAAATAGATTGTGAGTTAATTCGTATACAACGGTTTAGACAGACTCAGATGCAACCAAAAATATACTTTAATTATCCTATTCATTTTTAAGTTATTATTAAATGTCATGATATTTCACTAACACTTCTTAAGGTCCACTGGTTCGTTTTGTTCGGCTTAGTTGGCAAAAATTATATATATTTCATAGCGTCTAGCACGGTTTGCTGGAAGACACTGGTTCGAATTCAGCCGTATCGAAGGAGTTTTTTCTTAGTGTTCGATTTTTGTATTAATAATTATTCTATTAATATTATGTAATAATATCGAGTTCTTAGGTTTTCGCGATTGTTACACATAGGAAAATAACTATTTTTCCGGATTTAAATCGCGTACATTTATATTTTGAAACAAACCAACGTTTCGGGCCCATGGTCACGGTTGACTGAGGTGGTACAGTTATCAACCAGTTTTGTCTAATATTAATGCAAACCATCCCATTTTTTCACTATAGCTACAAAAGTTATTAATTAAGTACCTTATTTTTAATTTTACGAAGAAACATTCCAATCTTTGCCTTTTAAGTTGATACGTAGCCTGTTATGCCAACTTTGAAATACTTCATTTTGAAAATATTTAGTTTTATTCGGCTAATTAGTTTTATCTTTGATATATTCTAAAGTCGGCAATATTTAGAATCGAATATGAAAAATAAAGTATTATTTAGAATCACTACTGTGTTTACGCTGGTGGCGATAATTATTTTACATAAATGGGATCGTTTGTTCATGTGTGCTTAAATGCATTTACGATATTTGACACTCAATAATGCTTAATCATTATAAAATATTTTTTCCTCTGCATACTACAACGCACTAAATATACTTTTATAACTTATAAGTGCACTTTTAGTAGAGTTTATTTCATTCCGACACATTATTTTCAAAAGATATGAAGTTGTACTCTGTATGTAAACGTATTAAGTATACTTCTCGATAAAAATTAGTCATGGCGCAGTTAGGGTGAACGCATGCATGTCTCACCATACAAGTTCCAAATTATATTCCTTCACAGGCGGTTTCCGAACGGCTTTTTTTTACTGAATCGTGGGCAGCGTACCTTAAGCGTGCGTTAAGTACTACTTAGAGCGGTAGCGCGTCTGCAGCGATTTAGTCGCGTTGCGCTAGTGATGCGTTACTAATCTTTTACTTTTATTCGGCTTAGTGATTCCACACAAGCAATTGCAACGTTACAGTCGTATATACAGTCTGTACAGTAATACAGGTACAGTCGTGCGTTTCCATCTACATATGTATCCACCTTTTAATCGCTAGTGTGGCGTGCTTTGCCCGTGAAAGTGGCCGTGTGTAACTGCTCTTCATTTAACGATGATTGAAAATGTCAAAAAAATGATGAAAATGTCGTGATCATAGTCATCAGACCCAGCGCGGCAGATCATGGCCTGAAAATTGCATTCCGCTTACTTTTCACTTGTTCGCTCGGGCTGTATGACTATGATCACGATCGGGTTGTATGCGAGTACATACAACCCGAGCGAACAAGTGAAAAATAAGAGAAATGCCATATTTAGGCCATAATCTGCTGCGCTGGGTCTGATGACAATGATCACAACATTTGGCACAACTGCGTCTAGTAAGACGCTAATATAATGTGTAATGAATGTAGTGTCTAATCATTATTGCATTAAATAAAATATAAGTGGAGAAGAGAAGACGTTTCAATAACCATCAGTTTTTCATTACTTTGACAAAGTAAAGAAATACCTACTACGGTTACTGCAGCACATCTCTTTGCTAAAAGAAATGCATCTACGTTAAAACGTATCATCATGTTACACTAATATTATTATGTTGGTCCAAAAATATTATGATTTTTATTTTCATTGTAAGTGAACAAAGTTTCACATTATTATTTTAATTAATTATGCCTTTTGTTTGTGTATAAAACAAAGAGCCACCGCCAATGGAACGGAGTAGACAATGTGGAGAGGGCAAATAACAAAATAAAAAGAGGGGATAATTTGCAAAACAGATTTGCATTTATACTAACCGAGCAACATTAACTGGGAAGGCCAAGGCACATTGTTTTACTCGAACTCTTTTAATTTCCTATGCAAAAAAAGTATTATAATGCAAATAGCGATTCTAAAAAAATTGGAAGACTGTTTACAGAGGTTTTTCTGGGGTGTGCCTGTGGAATTATAAATTACCTTTCCTTATAACCCAATAAAAGATTTAAATCTTACAAACAAATAGTATAATGCATTAAGTATATTTTTAATGTAAATCGTTGTAATTATTATAATTATTATTAATGTAACTCGTTCTGCTTAAATACATTATTAATTTAAACTGTCTTGCTTAAATGTGGTTTTAACGTAACTCGACTTGCTGTAAATTCAAATTTGTTATTCGTAATGAAAGACATTTCAACGTATAAAAATATGTTAATTACTACGATCTTGTTTTTTAAATAAATCATGGCCGATTGCAATTTGTGTTTTTATCGTGATTTGTATCAATCATGTTTTTTTTTATTAATGCAATCAGACGTCGCCAATGAAACAGCCATGGTGGAGATGGCAACGACAGCCAATAATTAAAGTTTCATAATTAGTTGGTCGCCGACTAGAATTTTCAAAAATGTTCAAAATATGACATTGGCTTATAAGACTGTTTTTGGTCTCATTTGTGTACGTATATAAGTTTTTTCACGATCTCTCATTATTTGGCACTAGTTTGGGATTATAATTAGCGCCGGGCATTTTAAACCGACGCGGCCTAAACGTAATAATTATTACGTTTAGACTGCGCCGGTCGCAATTCCGGGCAGAGTACACGGAATGTTCGATCGATATTTACCTGAAACTGACGTACGTCTTTCATTTGAGATTGACATTTCACATTAAACCATTTTGCTTAGTTTGTAACTTTGAAATAAAATTTGAAATTAAAGTATTTTTTTATTTCGAAATATATATACTTTTTCTTATTTTCGCAATGTCCTTCGGCAAACTTCGTGTTTCGGCTGCCTTCGGGTTTTATACAGTTATCCTTTGCCTTTGGTATTGGCCGGACGCTTTACGATGCTTTTACATTTTTATTATCCAATGGGAGGAAAGCCGCTAAAGTCACAGGCACGACAGACAATTTACAGCGAGTACTTGTATTTTTTACCAGAAGCCGATTCGTTCAAGAAAGAACAATAGTTATTTCAAAAAGTCCACAAGACGTGTTTCTGTAATTTGTGGTGTTTCAATCGAACAGCAATATAATATTAATATAGCAAATAATATTTTAAAAGAATATGACAAAAAGGATAAATCAGTGCCTTTTCCTTTCTTATACTATATATTTTGGTTACTTGCTTATTGACATGGAGTAAATGTTATTAAAAATAAGGAAATAGTTTTTCAGCTCTATATAGTTCACACGGAAATCAAAACAACAGTAAAGTACGTTGTTCAAAATTCAAATTATTATGGATTTTAAATCTAATAATTAATGATCTTGTAAACCATTTATTGTAAACTAATATTCGTGTGCATTCGGAAAACCGATAATTGCAGAGAGAAAATAGAAGCCCTGCACGTGGTTCACGAGCTTGCCGCGAATGGAACGCGAGTGATTCGTAGTGAGCCGACGAAAATCAAGTACTCATTCTAGCGAGGGAAGATTGTTTCACGCGTACACACTAATTCGCTGCTGTATCTGTCACTTTACATTTACAGCTCATTAGCAAGCTGTAAATGTAAAGTGATCGAAGAAATATCGAGTTACACGGTGATATTAAACAAGAAATTGAATTTCAGAAACATCTGTCTTCTTATTATTGTCGTCATTCTTGCTATTAAGTCCCATTCCCACAATTAACTACACAATGCTACCATTACGAACGACATTCGTCTTTTTGGCCAAACCACGTGTTGTGATTCGACTTGATCCATGGATAAACCACAATTTTTTTAAAGATTGAACTGATCGATGCTTTCTTTAATATACTATACTGGAACATTATTTTGATAGACTCTAAAAACTCGCTTAAATTCATAGTTCGGTGAACCTGGATAATTTGAAGTACTCCGATAGGTTATGCGATTATAGACCAGAATTATGTATGTAATTCCAAAATAATCAGGCTTCAATGGGCGACGTCAAACGTTGGTATTGTCGGTAACGAAAAGGTATATTTATTTGCTAAGCGAGCTTATTAAAGTGGCGATAGGATTGTCTATTTTGCCCTGTTACACCGACTGCCTACATAAATATAAAACATATTGCCACCAGCCGAGAAAATAATATTGTAACGAAAGGTCCAAAGAACAGATTATTACTGTGTTCCGGTTTTGAAGGGTAAAGGTTACTGGTTAAATTACAGGCATGTCTGGGATTTGTCAACTTATGTCTCAGGGTGACAGGCACAGTAGCAGTGCATCCAAGATCTTTGTGATTTAAAGCTCTGAGTGGCCCTGTATAGAAGCGGGTCTGCTATAGATAGGCGTGTCGCTTGCGACTTCACTTGGCGTTATAAAAAAACTCACCAGGCTTAGGTAACAGAAACTGTTTCGAGAGAGCTGATGAAAAGGCTCCAACTTGATACATGGACATTCGCTGCCTG